CTGCTGAAAGTAAACACTATGTCTGTTGCGTTTTGGTTAAAGAGGGAAGTTGGGAAGCAAAACAGATCCTGGTGGCCTTTACCCAGCGCCTTATTTGGCTACTGAAAAACTTTCTGGCTAAAAATTGATACCATTACTGCTGAACTTGTGGCTAAAACTAGCACTTTTTTTTTCCCCACAAAAAGAATAAATGAAGCTTGTCATCTTTTTAAAAATGGCTTGCCATTAAGCCAGGGTGCTGCCCATCTAATTGCTTCTTTAATCTGGTCGCTATTTCTGTGTGGAATTCATGTAAATGTGTGTGTGATATGGAGGCAATTGGCTAATTTTGCAGCTGCTGCAGGAAATGGTTCCTGTGGTCTCTGTGGTGCACTATGGCACTGAGTTACATGCCGCCTTCTTCCCTTGAGCATGCCTTGAGCCCTTTCAAGTAAAGCATATTCTTACTTTGGCTCTGTGCCTAACGTACAATCTTCTAACAACATCGAGTAAAATATAATGCTCAACTGACTGGAAATATTCTCCAGATGTAATTCCCTTCAATGGAAGGGAATATGCAATATCTAGAGTTCGTACATGACCTATTTGTTGACAGTCTTTAATAAAGATGTTACTTTTTGAGTTACTAAGATTAGAATATCATTGTAAAATAATTGCGGAGATTAAATGGTAATACTCTCTGAAACTAAAGCAGAAGACGGGTACGACTGGTGTTGACTGGTTAACTTATGTTTTAAATATTTTGTAAAAACTTTTTTTTTTCCTGAATTACATACAGTGTGTTGAAGAGTCTGCGAGAATATCTGAGACGTCCGTAGACTATCTGATGCTGGGCTTTGTGGGAAACTCTGAATATTTCAGTGGGATATTGAGCAGGGCGCCAGTAATAAGAATGATTGTGACCAACTTGTAGTAGATTTGGGTTGGAGAATTAGGCAATGGAAGCATCTACGTCCGGTTTTTAATTCCACGTGATGTTCTGTGACTGGTATAGAAGAATCTAAGCAATCTCCTGTTACTGATGTGCATTGCCCTCAAAGAGCTGAGGAGTCTTGGGAAAAAGTATGCTTGCTCTCATCTCTTGGTGATGACGTCTCTGGATATGTACTTGAAAACTCATACTCATTTTGAGGATATTCGAGATGGACGCAAAAGGAAGAATACTGAACTATGTACATTTTATTGTTTTCTGGGTAAATGGTTTTGAACTGAAGGAATGAAAATGAAGAAATGTTATTCTTCTGTTGTCCAGATTACTGAAGTCTTGTTTTGTATCAGCATTGTTCAAGGATTAAAGAGCAGAAGAGAGGGGAAATAACTCTTGAAAACTTGTTCAAAAAGGCTTATCGTGTATTGCATTGCTGGCAGTCGCTGCTGTTCTTACAGTAAAGAGAGTTCTTCGGTATCCGAAGCAAGTTCATGTATGTGGGGTATAGAGGTCTGAAGTTGAATGCATTTTGTGTATTTTGTGGAAAAATAAATCTATTTGTTTTAAATTGAAAAAGGTGCTTGTCCTGTGAGTATGCTGAAGCGGACTTTGTGGAAGTAAAATTCCTTTTACAAGGCCTCAGCATTAAAAGGTCATGACAACCATATTTCATCTGCAAATACATCCGTGAATGATCTGTTTGTACCAGTTAGGCAAATATATTTACATAACAGTTCAAAGGCTGAAGCTTTTCAACACTTTATGTATTTTGTCTCCCGTGTGCCTCAAAACACATTTGTATGAACTTTTTTTTCAACTTTTGTTCTTGTAGAGGTAGAACATTTACGGCCAGGTAAGTTTCTGAAGCAGTGGGAATCCAGGTCAGAGTCCCTTGCTCCTTTTCGACTACTCCTCCCTGGATGAAAAGCAAAGTGGTGGTCTGTGCTCTTGCAGTGTTTGTGGCTGCTCAAGATGGTCTGGCATTCCTAGCATTAATAGGCATCGCATTTTAGTAATGTCTATTTCGTCGTGTTACATTGAACTAAATGCTAATTCCAAAGTATTATTCTGCTGTTAATGTGGTCTTTCCAAGGGTTTGCAAGCGTTAGTTTAAAGAAATCTACCATTCAGTGAAGAATGAAGCAATTCTTGTATGCGTACCTGCAAGTATGTTGTAAAGTGTGTTGTAGTTGTCTTGGACGAAAACTGGAGGAAAAAACCCCACATATTTAATTCAAGAAATTCCACAAAATGGTTTCTGTTACGTCCAAACCACTAGGATGCCAGCTACCTGAAACAGTTCCTTTCCCTTTTGTCCTTATATTTGCTAAAGTTATGTGTATGTCTGGTAGCAGAATTTATTGCAAGAGGTTTAACAAGGGGATGAAGTTGTTAAACTGAGCTTCAAGCTACCTGTTTTCTGCTCGTAAAAATTATTTCACTGTTGTCAGCTTTATCTGTTGAAGTTATTGAACAAAATGAATTAAATGGGATGCAATATAGTATTATCAGATAGCAATCATTTTTAGAGTGTAAGAGACCGGGATCAGTTGCAAAAGTCCATACCTTCAGTCTGTCCTGCAGAGGAGTCTCTTTTTTAACAGAAAGTGAAATACTATCAAAACAGAGTTTGACTGACTCTTTTGCATTTTTTTTCATCTAACATCTTTTAGACCAATGGGATATGGTCTTGAAATTGACTTTACATTAAATATTTAGATAATAGCAGTATCTTGTATAGATCGTGGTCTAAAACAGTATTGAAATCTGCATAATTAGCAAGTTGCTATTTAGGGGCAACTAAGATTTCTTTCGCACAAAATCTGAAATGTCAGTGTTTGTTTATACTGATACTTTGAACACTGGGAGGATGAGCCAATATAGATGTATAGAATTCATGACAGTAGGTTTGGCAAGCTTTGTGGGGATTCTTTGAAGAAATCAAACCAAAGACTTGTAATACAATACAGCAGAGAGAATAGGAAAAGTTTGGCTGTTTTATTGTTTGTGATTTTCTGGAAGTATTACCTCACTTCATCCTGGCTAAAAAACAATCAAAAATCTCTCTGAGTAGACTCTATTTTTGCTACCACTAATTCTTCCTATAGTTGTTAAAGGTGGGTTAGATGTGCGGGTATGAAAAAGAGGAGAGACATTTGCAAGTATTTTGGGTATAGAAGTGTGATCTGAATATGTGTGTTGGAACCAGAAATCTTTAAGACTTAAATGACTGTGAAAAAAGCTGCAAGCTTGTTTTTCAGATCTTGGGCAGCCCTCTTGCTTTGTCCCTAGCACATCCCTGGGAATAATAATCTCCCTAAGGAATGGTTATGAGAATGGATTGACAGTACACTGCTTGGGTATTTCTGGACCAGACTTTCCAAAGTGACCAAAGTGTTGTATACCAAGAGGCAAACTAGCGAGTCCTTTGAATGGCTTCTGATCTTTCAAAAAAACTTCTGGAGTGTATCAGAATGGTAATACAAAGTAATGTGAGATCAAAGTATTAACAGCGGAATAGAAGAAATGTGATGTATTTGATCAAGTTATTTTTACCTGAAAGTAGACAACACATTGTACATAAGCCTATAGGTGTAATAAATATTAAGCTGATTTTATCAATAGGAAAATGAGATTGTTGTCATTGTAGAGACGGATACGACACTGAATTTCAAGTTGCAGCCATCGTACATTTTATTTTACAAGCAGTGCTCTTTTATATCCTTTTACCTGGTTGCTTATCTGTGCATATATTCTAACATTCTACTTTTGCCCAATCCGCTCTCACATCACACACCATCCAGCCAATACAATTGTTGATCACGCGCTGTTTGTGCTCTGGGAAAAGCCAGGTTGTTTGCCACTCCTTATCTTGTTTGCTCGGATCTTCTCAGGATTATCCTGTCTCTTCAAGGGTACACGGGTATCTGTTCAGGGTCAGTGTTAAACTTGTATTTTGATCCCTCGGACCAGCTGAGGTCTCCCACAGATTGTGATAGATTCTATAGGAGTAAAGCTGATGTAGCTTAAAACTGTAATGAATCTTTACTATATTGTGTGTTTTCATTGGATCAGTGAGGTGGAATCTGGACAGAAGACTAAATAATCCACTTGTGAAATGTTTCCTTTTTGTTTCCAATTCTCAGGTGTCCTACATTAGTCAAGACTGTGAAGAAATTCCAGAATTCCTAGGAAGAATATATGGACGTATGGCAAAAAGGCTAGATCTTAGCTTCAACTTGTTAAGGTATGTGGTGATATATAGATTTTTCAAGTGCAATATGGGACACCAACTCCAAAAATAGAATATTTAATTTTTTTTTTTTCAAAGTAGGAACATACGTGTATGTCAGGTACATTTAGTTGTTATCAAGTGGGTGATGCTGTTTTATAGGCAATGTTTGTCTCCTTTTCTTGCACACTTGGAACACAAATAACCAGGTGAGTCTGGAAATTTCTTGTGTTAACATGAATGATACCCAGTGAGGAGCTTATGGTTTGTTGTCTGCTCAAAATGGAGAATAAGCATCGTTACCTGAAGAAGTGAAGAATGGCATCAAAAGTGAGTTGTTCTCAACCAAAATACACGTAAGTGTGTGCTTCTCTCCCTTCTTTTTGTTTGTAGATCTCTGGTTATTGCCATAAATGTTTTGTAATACTCTTTTCCCAGATGGTGTGGTTTTGTTGTATGATCTTATTTTTGGGCAGCTGTGTAGTTAAGTGCTAAACCTAAGTGCAGTTAGAATTTATAAATAAATTCTAGTTATTTTAATATATGGATTGATTTAGAATTCTATAGTATTCCCTTAGTTATTACAGTATCCTTTTTAATTTAATCCTTGTGAAAGAGCTTGGTGAGGTTCACCAGTGTATCTTTCAGGTTGGTGACTCTGTAAGTAGGTAGGGAGAAAGGAATGGAATGTAGTTGTCTGTTTAACAGAAGCATAGTTTTTCAATGGTGGGGTTGGACTCTTTTGAGTTTTCCTTTTATTTTATTGATGGTAAGCTTAGAGTCTGCTTGTAAGGAGTAAGACACATAAAAGTAGTGTGCTGGTGCCTTGTTCTAGGGGTAATAACTGCTGGTTTTAACTTCCTTAACACTCATAAATGTTATCCTGAGACGCTGTCAACTCTGAACGACTGATTCCTATACGCAAGAGGTAGGCATGTACGTTCCTACATGCAAAGGAGGCACTGAACACTGTGGATTGTTATTGTCTTATACTTCTGCTTGATGACTCTGTACCTATGGAAATTGTAATGAGAAGAGAGAATTTTTCTAGGGGGGAGAACCGAATGGGCATTTTTTCATTTTGTCATGAAGAGAATTCCAGTTTTGCATGTGTACTCGGATTCAATGCGTCATCAACAGTGTGCTTCTTGATACCTCTGGAGGTACTACCTCTGGAAAAAAACACAGTTTCTTTCTTTCATTTAATGCACAATTTGAAGAGCAGTTCCTCTGAGTTTGTTTTATTTCATAAAGCAAAATGTTAACATTAAATCTAGATGTAAAGTACCACTTTAAAACTTTACATCACTAGTTCTTTTTTCATGGAGAGCTTAATTGGTGGTGTATTTCTCAAATCTGTGTTTTCATCCCTTCTTTCCTTCCCTACCCAAACCGCTATCACTTAGCCTATTTTTCAGAAGGGATATAATTTGGTTTTATTGGGGGGGGAAAAAAGTGTGTTAAAATCTTTTGCGGGGAAATGTGAGAGAAAGTACTAGTTATGGGGGAAGCTGCAATCAACTTTTGATGTAGGATAGCTTGCTGTTGCAAAGCTGTAAAAGTATTCTAAGGCCAGAAATCAGATCTGGGGAAAGGCAAAGGGTGGGATTTTTTGTTTTGTGGGGTGGTTTTTTGTTTGGTTGTTTTGTTTTTTTTTTTCCTTTTTTAGTTTAGGGAAGCTAATACTAAATGTGATGAAAGCCCTAATGTTTCCTTATTTGAGCTGTGATAGTTATAGTAAGCATATAGAAACTAAGAATGAAGTATTTATTATACAGTTGCTCTTCAGACTGGTCTGCACTTGTAGATGAGTGCTGTGCCTGTGTATAATAGGGAGAGTCAGATAAGATGTAGAATAAATGTGATAGCCTTAAACGAATGTGAATATAGAAAAGATGTCTTGGGCAGCTGTTGAAGCAAGCGTAAACTGTAAGATCATTGTCATCTTCTTTAAACAAGTATTATTGCTTGAGACATTTGACAATGACCATATAGTGATTTGTTTTATGATTTTTGTTGGTGAATGCTTAATTTGAAAAGTTTTGTGTGTTGTAGTGGGGAAGAAAGTAAACTTAAGTCTCTTTAAAAAGGAGTGATCTAGAAAAACTTGCTATCTGTTGGTAAAGGCATAAGTTGAGTGAAGAAGATCAAGGGTGATCAAAATCTAGAAAAAGATAAAGAGAACATTGTGCTTTGCTGGCATAATGGTTATTTGCAGTAAAGATGTTAGTTTTCATTATAATATGATTCATTATTAGATGAGAGTGTGGATGTGTTATTTGAAAGAAAAAAAATACTTCAGCGGTCACTAATTTTTAGCCTGTGTTTAAGCCAGAGAAATGCAGAAATATTCAACAGTTGCCTGTTCTCAGTGTTGGGCAGTAAGTAAGTACTTACCAATCTTTTTTAAATGTTGTTTTGCATATAAGGTTTCTGCGTCCTGTCCTCTGTAAGTATGGCTACTGCCAAGTGTATTTTGGGAAGAAATCATCCTCCTGTAGCAGGCAATAAATTCTGTTACGTAAAAGTGTCAATAGAATTTCTGAGAGCATAACAATTACATTAAGAATTTAAGAAATTGAGCGTAGAGGGAAGGGGGTTTTTTATTTTTTATTTTGTGGGCAGCAGTATTTGCAGTCATGTTATTTGATATTGCTATCATGGGTGTAGTTGCATGGAGAGAAAGAGATCTGTGTTCTATAATGTGTTCAGCTTTGTGGTCAGTTGGCAGCAAACTATTCTTGCGAGGCGGTGCTGTCCTTTCTGAACCAGAAGTTGTGTGCAGTTGTAGACCTGCAGCCTTCACTGTGCTCACACACACACACATGCTTATTCGCATAAGAGGCTCTTATCAGAAAGATATGTCTATACTGCATGATACAGATGTCACAAAACTTTCTTATGCAACTGCTACAATGTAATACTTGATTGAATACTTGCTTCAGTGAATTATACTGATTTTGATACCACTGTGTGTAGCTAACTTTATTGCAAAAGTCAGGATAGAGCAAAGTAATTTATTTTGCCATTTAAGGCTTTCCACTGTAAATGTGTTTTCAGAGGCTTGTCCAGGTATACTGGCAAAAAGGTGGGAAGACTGGCTGATGCTGTTAGTAAAGTTAGGAAAGAATTAGTCTAACATGCTGTATTTTGTGACTTAGATGCAAACAACTTTTGCAAAGCTTGTCCATTAATAACACATTCCAAGAGATGCTGTTCTGTCTTTCTGAGAAATATAGCTTGTTGTTTTGTACAAACAAAATGTTTTTCCCACTGGCCCTCTTTTTTTTTTTTTAAAAACTTGTTGATACACATTTGGATAATAATTTTTAAAAATTTAGGGATATCTTCTAATTAATTATTGTTTGTTATAGCACTTCTGTCTTTTTTTCTGCAAAGAAGAGTAATTATGTGGATTCAATGTTCTTACGTGTGGTGGTTTTGTTACTCAGACCTCTCCGATTTTTTTTTTTTTTCTTTTTGGGTGTGATGTAAACACATAAACGTATGCAGGACTGGAGAACTACAGTGGAGGAGGGGAGGGTTGTCGTTAGTTCTTTTCTATTGGCAATTTAATACAGAGGAAAATGTGTATTTTTCACCAGTTTTTTCTGAAATCAGAGTTCTTCCCAGGCTAGAGCCCCTTCTTCTTTATTAAATAGAAAATAGGGCCTGTGTAGATGCTTAACTGTCTTTGCATCAGATGTGGTAAATCTAATAACAACACTTGGTTAAATAATCACAAAAAGTTGCTCTTTAAAAGTATTGTCTGTCTTGTTTGCCATTTTCCAAGAACTATTGTCTCTCTTTGATTACCCTGAGAGAGTCATGGATCTAGCTCTCTTTCTCCTGGCAGCCAAAGCAAAGTGACTGTTACCAGTCACAATGGTTACTCATCTCCCCTTTTCCCTGGGAGGGAAAGGAAAGGCAGAGGTGAATGGCAAAAGGGTACTTTTTTTTTTATGGGGATATTGGGGAGAAAAAGGAGGAATAACAGCAATTTGTTGAGTATGAGGCAAAGGGAAAAACTGATGTGTGCTTGAAAGTCTGCTAGTTGTAATCAGTAAGATAGGGCGCCACTGGATTGCCTCCTATTTGCAGCTCTGGCAGACGGAAATCCTTCAACCCCAGTCACTATAGTCCACTTGTTAATTATTTCTTCTCGTGCTGTTTTCTTTAGAAACTATTTAAATAAAATCTGTAATGTCTTTTTTTTCCCTTTGGGACTAACGGGGGGTTGTGAAGAAGATGGAGCCAAACTCTTGTCAGATGTACAGCAAAAAGATGAGAGGCAGTGGTCACAAGTTGCAGCAAGGGAATTTCCACCTGTTTATAAGCAAGGGCTTCACGATGAGAAAGGTGAGTAGAAGAGGTGCCCAGAGAGGCTGTGGGATCTCCATCCTGGGTGGTATTTAAAGTGCCACGGGACAAAGCCCCAAGCAACCTAGTCTAACTTTAAAGTCACCCTGCTCTGAGCAGGGGATTGGACTAGATGACCTCTAGAAGCCCCTGCTGACTTAAATTATACTGTGATTCTGCAGCTTTATTGGTGTGGTCATCATAAAGTGGCCTGAGCTGTAGCAGCTCTTTTGATTTGATATTGGTAGTGATTTTTCAGCTATTTTGGAAATGAACTATTTACACTGTGTATTTTCAATAAGGCATGTTTCAGGAGCAGAGCTTTGGAAATCTGCTCCCGAGTCTCTCATGGCAACTGTATTTGATAGCCTCCCTGATAATAGAGTACTGTAAAGGCCACTATTTTGTTTCATAGTATGTGGAAAGCATTCCCCGGTTCCCATTTAATGAAAGCATAGGGTACAGGAAGGAAATTTACTGATGTGCCAGTGTTAGTGTTACTGGGAGGCTTTGCTGAAAAGGATTTCAAGGGGGAACAAAAATTATTGTTGATCATTGGAAGTTAAAGATTTCATTCAAAAAAAAAAAGTAAATAATAATCACTGGTGAAGGAAAGACCAATAAATAAGTAGGAAGGATGTAACATAGGTAGGGAG